ACTGGAATCAGCGCAGCTCCACGGCCCCAGCCTCCTCCGGTGGCATGTCCTCCTCTCTCCCGCTGAAGCCCAGTTGCGACCATGGTGGGAGCTCAGCCGCCGGCCCTGGGAGGCCGTCTGCGATGGCACATGCCCTGGCCACCTTCACTGCTAGCTCTGGACAGTCTCAGGAGATGTGCGGGAAGGAGGCATCCAGGCTGCGGCACTGAACCAGCTGGGTTGCACTGGGTTGTCTCAAAATTTCCTCAAAGGCACCCGGGAATTAAGAGTGTGGTGAGAGGGTTTTCTCCCTGCTCCCCTCCCAAACTCTCACAGAATCACAAAATAGTAGAGTTGGAAGGGGCCAGAAGGCCACTGGGTCCACCCCACCACCACTCAGTGCAGGGCTCCAAGTTAACCCCCCCCACCCCCCGGTGGGTGTCCCGTTGCATTCTGAATGCCTCCAGTATGGGAGACCCCCCCCCCCCACCCCGAAGCCATTAGCTCCTACACTAACAGGCAGGAATTTCCCTGAGGTTCAGCAGGAAGTGGCTTCCTGAAACCTGAGCCTGTTATTCTGTGTCCTGCGCTCTGGGATGGTGGAGAAGAGACCTGGCAGTCCTTCAAGGACTTGGAGAGTGCTCTCCTATCTCCCCTCAGTCTTCTCTTCTTGAGGCTAAACATGCCCAGTTCTCTCAATCTCTCTTCGTAAGATTTGTGTCCAGTCCCTGGATCATCCTTGAACCTTTTCCAGCTTCTATGCATCGTTCTTAAACTCTGGTGCCCAGAATTGGACCCAGTACTCCAGATGAGGCCTGACCAGTGCTGAGCAGAGGGGAACTAAGACTGCACAGGATTTGGAATGCAGCCTAAAAGAGTATTAGCTCCTTTTGCAGCTACAACACATTGTTGGCTCATATTTACCTTGTCATCTACAACAATACCAAGATCCTTTTCTTTTGCCATATTGTTGAGGCAAGTCTTCCCCTTGCTGTAACAATGCATTTGGTTTCTTTTTCCTAGGTGCACAATTTGTCATTTGTCCCTACTGAATTCCATTCTGTTGCTCTGTCCAGCATTCTAACCTACCAAGATCACCCTGAATCTTCTTTCTGGCTTCCAGGGTATGAACGATCCCACCCAGTTTTGTGTCATCTGCAGATTTGTTAATTTTTCCCCATACTTCCTCATCCAAGTCATTAATGAAAATGTTGAAGAGCACAGGACTGGACCCTGCGGTACCCCACGTGTTACCTCTCCCAAATCTGAGAAGGTGTCTTTGAAGAGTGCTCTCCGAGTCCAGTTTTGTAGCCAGTTGTGAATCCCCCTAATAGCTGTTCTGTCTAGCCCACTTTTTGCTAGCTCTTCTGCTATGGAAGTTCTTAGTAATCTTTAGCTGAAGCAATTATACTGAGAATTGGTTTAAATGTGTGGCATAGGCATGCCTGGACTTTGCTGGAAGTTGGAGGTGGGGATTGACTTCCCCTTTGCATATCAAGTGGCAATTGCCCCGGGACAAGCCTCCTGGGGGTGGAATTCTAACATAATCGAAATCTGGCAAGGGTTTCTGTTCAAGGAAAGGCACTGGAACTGCTTGAACCTATGAAGAAAGAGATCTCCCAAGGTCAGCTCTAGAAAATTGATGTTGAAATTGTCGTTTATTTAGCGGTGATAGGCAGACTCCAAACTGTAGTTCTGGGCTGTTTGGTGTTGAGAATGGCACTGATCACCATCCTTGAAGCACCACGGGAAACTCACTGCTCATTCCTGTAGGTACCTCATTGCTTTTGAATGTCATTCAGCTTTGACTTTACAGAACAAATTTCAAGTTCTCTTTTTGTAAAAAAATAAAAGCACATTCAAAACGGATGCTGAGCCCAGGAACTCTCTGTTGCACAGGCTGCAAGACACACTCAGGCTGCAAGATGCTGGGTGCCGGAGGTCGTCAGGCTTTTCGAATCCCATCCTTCTGGTCTAACTGGCTTAGTTACTTAGGTTTATGGCAGGGAGGCCAGGAATTACCCACACTTGTGACATTGCTGCTCCGAGCATAAGGCCAGTTTCCAGGGCAGAATCCAGTGCGCTACTCTAAGCAATCTGAAAAATGCGGACGCCACTATGAACCAAGCCCAGGTTCCTCGCTCACGGGGCTGTGGGCCCGAGGGTGCCTTGCAGGTGTGCGCCAGGGTTGGAGTGAGGGAGCCCTGGCCTGTGGGGCAGGTGTGGACTGCTGGGCTCTGCCTGCCAGGCACACCCCGTTCCTGCAGGCCAGGCCCCCGCTGGCCCTGCTCCACGCCCCTCCCTCATTCCTCTCTGCCCTCGAGTGCACCAGCCGGGCAAGGGCATGCCAGTGAACGCGCCTCTCTCTCCGTGGTGCTCAGATGCAAGGCGAGAGCTGCACCCGCCGCACGGCCCTCTTCTGGCTCTTGTCCTGCCTGTTCTGGAGGGCGGACCATGGCAAAGTGCAGCTGAGGGTCTGTGTAGCTCAGCCGGGAAGGAGCTCCCCGTGCCTGGGCTCAGAAGCAGAAGCGCGGAGTGGTGGAGCTGGGAGCAGCCCAGGGGGCCGATGGGCCCAGCACGCTGCTCAGTGCAGGGGACCCATCCTGCGCGTGCTTGTGCGAACGTGAGGCCTGATTTGGCCTCGCCTCCATGCCAGGTCTCACTGCTGCTGCGGCTGCTGCTTTTAGCGGGAGCGAGAGAGGCTCCTCCAGCCAGGCTTGCTGTTCCCCAGCTCCCTTGCTGAAACCCCCATTCCCCCACCCCATTGCTCAGAAGTACAAGCACAGAGTCCGCCTGGACCCGATCCGGGGGTCTTCCCCAGTCCAGCGCTTGGCGTCCATGCCGGTCAACCAGCTGCCCTAGCATGGTGCAAGCACCATGGCCCCTCCTGCTCCAGCTCCCCAGCCTCTGGTGCGCATGGACTGCCCACCTCCAATCCTGGGGGCAGCTTGCAGCCATCAGAACCAGCAGCCCCGACAGCCTCCCCCTACCCACATCCCAGCCCCCTTCCCACGTGGTGTGGACACTTGTTCCGCAGCTGATCTCCGTGCTGCATGAAGGCGGCTTCCTGCTCCTCAGTCCCGACTCTCCCAGCACGGAATCTGGGGCCTCGCAGGCGGGCGGCTGCCACAAGCGCCACCGGCTTGATGGCACTCGCGGCATAGGAAGGCTCCCCTGGCAGGGGAGCGCCCTGGGGGCATCGGCACCCTTGGCCAAGCTCGTCGGCGTGGCAGGCGGGCTCGCACTTGGCTTGCTTCCTGGCTCCTCACCGCCTGCGTCAAGCATGCCTGGACTCCAGAGTGCCACTGGGCGGGCTGCTGGGGCAGGGTCCGAGGTCCTGGTCAGCACGAGTAGGGGGCTCCCAGCTTGTGGCACGTGGTCCAGCACGGGCTGATGAAGCAAGCTGGAGGGACGCAACCATGTGTGGGGGGGGGGGGGGGGGCTCTTCTGACAGCCATTGCATGGAGAGTGTAAAATTGCCAGCTGCAACATTTGCTTCTTTCATGGTAGCCTTCCTAATTGATTTCTTTTGTTATGTCTGAATTCAGATTCTGTTCTCAGTTGGTATTTTTCATTGCTCGCTGCCCCAAGTACCATTTTTGATGGAAATTGAGAAGAATAAACACACCCCGATCCCAGGACATGCAGGCAGCATGTGGGTTGTGAGAATGCCCGGCTGAAGAGCTGCTGGGCCGCGCAGGGTGGGCTGCAAGCCAGCGAGGCTCCTACTGCGGCTCCTCCCCCCCCACACACACACACAGTGGGACTGGTGCTGCACAACAACCCTGACAGGTTTAGCCCAGTATTTCTTCACCTCCAACTTCAGCGCCACTTCTCTGCCTCCAAGCATCCAGGGTGCACCAAAAGCGTTGTGCCCTCTGCATGCAAAAGCAGTGTGTGCCGGGTTTTAATCTTTCCCTCCCCCACCCGCCCCCAAAGCAGCTTATGATTTATTCACGTTCTGCAGATGGGGGGTCGAAGCGCCAGAGCCCGGCTGGCCCGCATCCTCCGAGGAGCCTCTAGCAAAGGGCGGGGGCAAACGCAGCCTGGCTCCTCCGGGGCTCAGGCAGCCTCCACCCGCGCAGTCAGGGCGTGCGCCGGCATCCCCACGCACTCCTAGGCCCACTGCTCCCACGGGGCTGCCCCCTCCTGTGTTCTGGACAGCACCCCGTGACTTCAAGCTACAGGAGCAGGCGAATCTCCCGAGGGAAAGCCGGGGAAAGCGCTGCACGCGGAACTCCCGCCTGCCTACCTATTTCTTTGCACCCCGCCTCCCCGCCTCGAAGGGACTCAAGGCGGCTGGCACAGTCGTCGCCCCCCCCCCGCCCTCCCTCGCGTCGGGCCGCGGGTTCGGGGCTGGCCGTCGTGCGGACCACCCGTTGCTCGCCCTCGCAGGCGCGGCCCCGTCACCGCCTCCCGCAGCAGGACCCGGGCGCCGCCAGGCCCGGAGGCGGCAACCCGGCAGCCCCCCCGGGGCTCCTCTCCGCAGGCCCCCCGCCGCCGCCCCGCCCACCTCCGCCGAGCCGCCCTCCTCCGACGTGAACGCGAGCCTGCCGAGGCGGGTGCGGAAGGAAGTCCGTCGGCTCCGCGAAACGCCCAGGTGAGCAGCGGGGAAGGGCGGCACCCGGCCCTCACCTGTCGAACCAGCACGGCAGCCGCGAGCGTCCCGCCCCGCTGACTCAGGCCGCGCCGCACCTTTCACCTACCTTCTGCTCCCTGATCTCTCCCTCCCCGGCACCTTGCCCAAAAGATCCCTCACCCATCATCCGCCCTCACTCCAAACAGTCGCCTCCCTTCGCACAAGCAAACTTAATCCCTTTCTCTCGCCTGCGCGGAAGCCCCGCGCGCGCTCCCGCACCCTGCTGCCGCCCGGAGCGGCGCGTCTCTCCGCCAGGAAAGCCGCCGCGCGCTTCCTCCTCGCCAGCTTCCTCGTTCCCTGGGCTGGCCAGCGGGGCGCGTCCGCTGAGGGAGCGCAGCAAAGGTCTCGGCAGAAGTGGACTCAGCAGGGCAGAGGAGAAGCCATGGGGACCTCCGAGGAGGATTATAATTTTGTCTTCAAAGGTGAGTGGCCATTTCAGCCCTTTGGAAAACTCCGCACGGGCCCTCAGTTCCGCTGCCCAAACTGCAAGTTGAGCACCGTGCACCCTTAAAAGTCTGGCGCACTTTTCCAGTCATGAAGGGCGAGAGCTTCAGGGGCTGCAGCATGCTGGAGACACACCTTGGACCCTTCCCTGTCCAGGAACCCAGAGTGCCACTTCCCGTCGGAGAAAACTTGTGTGGATCCAAAGGACCAAAGTGGTCTGAAAGCAAGCAAACTCTTTCGTTCCTCTCAGCCCCAAAGATCTCTCCGGGTTCAGCTTGTAATAACCTCCTGCCCTTGCGCGACACTTGAGGGAGTCTGTGGTGCTTCCTGCTTGGATCTTAACTGATTGTGCCCTTTAGTTCATTAAATCTGCATACCTTGGTCATGTCTGTAAACTGGCCTTCCCCAAGCCATGGGTAACATAATTTCCCTAAAAAATTTCAACCTAAAAAAAAAAAAAATTTCAACCTAGATTTCAGTGGGTCCCACATAAGCATGACTACATCCAACCAAAGAGAAACTCCAAAAAATATCAATAATGCTAATTGCAACCTGGAAAGATGATTGCAATAGGAAAGATGAGAAAGAACGCTGGGCTGGGACTGGAGGTCTGGGTGCCACTCCCCACTCAGCCCTGGAGCTTATTGTTGTGACTTTGGGCCAATCACTAGAGATTTAGGGCCTCCTGTAATATTATCCTTGCTTTGCAGACAGGCAAGCTGAGTTTTCACAGTGTGAAGTTAACACTGTGACCTCTCTACTTGTGCATTTGTAAATAACTGTGGGGCTGGAGTTAGGCTTAGGGGTGGAAGGAGATGTCCAGCAGAACATCCTACTCACCCTCAGCTTAGCATACTAAGCTCTGGTTTCTGGAAACCCTTCTCTCATGTTGCTGTTTGTTTGCTCTTTAGATTAACACATAGTCTTAATTGGAGCAGTAGAGAGCTCGAAACCTGACAGCACCTTGTTTTTCTGATTCATACAATCGGCTTTAGCGCTGATCTTTAAGGTCAGGGTTAGCAGCCTGTAATATTGATCACAGCAAGACTGTGGAAATCCAGAACTGGTCTTCCAAACAGAACTCTGCAGGAACTGCCAAGCTGGGCATCTGCAGTTGGGCAAGTAGCTGCAGATTCTGTAGAACTTGGTATCCAGGTTAGAAAGAGGCGTGTCCTACAGCTGCAGGAACATGGGCCTGTGTGGCACTGTGCGTTGCACGAGCTCCGGGCTGTTTGGCGGCACGGGGTGTTCAGTGAAGCTCCTCCGTGGGCGGGAGAACCAGCAGAGCCACTGGGGCCGGGGACTGGGAGCAAAGTCCAGCCCCCCCACGACCAGAGAGTGCGGGGGTGTGAGCAGTGCCGAAGCAAGCTGTCACTGCAGCCCTCATGGGGCACAGGCCCAGAGCATCTCCGTTCCCTTCCCTTGCCAGGTCTGGCAGCCATTCTGACCCATCAGGAATGCAGCAGCACTGGCACCAGAAGGAACGGGGTGGGCAGGGAAGGCGTGTTAGTTGCGTGGTTCAGAACCAAGGCAGTGCAGAAGGGCAACTTCCCGGGGTCTCCGCTGACCTTGCTGCAGCATCGGGCAGGGCTGGGAGATGCAGCGGCCCGCCCCCCCCCGCCCCCCTTGCGCTTGCTGTTCAGTGGCTGGCCAGGTGCTGCCAGGACATTGGTGGCTCGCAGGCTCCATGCAGCTCGTGTGGCCACTGGCAAAAGGGTCCCCTTGGGAGCATTCTTGCTGTGGGTGGAAGACCCAGGGATCCATGGCATTCAGGCATCACATGGGGGAAATAGCAGTTCTTCTGCCACTTGGGGGGAAACAGAACCCACCTGTGTGACCCCCAAGGCCATTGGCTCTGCAGGCTGTGGATGATGGAATTGCAGTCTCACACATCCAGAGGGCACCAGGTTGGGGAATGCTGCTGTACGAAGTACAGAACAGCCCCTGCAGCAGGCCGTGTCTGCCTGGAACTGTCTCCTTTCTGCTGATTTGAATCCTGGATGAGGAAATGGGTATTTACCCAAGGAAAGCGCATTCTTGTGCTGCGCAACGAGGGCAACGAAGTGATACACACCTCGGCAGCCACAGGACGTGCAAGACGGGAGTTCGCACACTCTGTGGTGTGGTTGGGCCAGGCAGGCAGACGCGGGCGAGCGGCAGCGCCGATCTCCTGCTCGCTGCGTTTTTGCAAAAGGCTGGTGGGGCAGAGTCTGCGCATGGCTCCAGGCGGGGCAGGAGCACCAGGCCCTGGTCCCTTTGGAAGCCCAGCCGGGCCAGCTGCTGTGCGCGTGTGCGCATCCCCTCCTGCAGGGGAGAGCAGAGGGGAAGGCGCTTAGCACCAGGGACACTGCCCCCCCCCCCCTTTGGCGCAGCTGGGCGGCCTGAGGCTGGAGGCGCCCTGCTGGCTTTGGCGGCCAGGCCACCTCGCTGGGCCTGAGAAGCCCCCTCCCCTGCAGCTGTGGGCTCAGCCCCCGCCTGACTGCCCAGCCCCTCCGCAGCAGCACTGGCAGGCTTGCTCGCGCCTGGGGTGGGGGCAGGCTTGGTCCTGCTGCTGCCAAAGTGGGGGGCGGCTCGTCCCAAGGCAATGCTCGGCTCCGCAGGGCTCACCCAGTGGCTTCCCCGCCACACTCGCGCAAGTGCCCCGGCCGCACACACAGCCCACTGCCCTGCCTGCCAGCCCAGCTGCGGGCGTGTCGGCCGCCGCTCCATCCAAACGTGCGACGGACGGGCCTTGTGCCACTTCCTCACCGGAGCTCAGAGGCCGGAGCAGCGGAAGCGGCTGGTGAGCCGAGCGCGGTCGGCCCTTCCTGCCCGCTCACCTGCCCAAACCTGGAAGTCAGCTGCTGGCACTGGGAATGCGTCACGCAGGAGGAGTCGTGGCCCACTGGCTCCTCCAGACGACAAGCAGGCCGCAGGCAGCCCCCCACCCTTCGCTCTCCGGCAGGGCCAACCGCAGCGGCTCCCAGGCCCTGGTGCTCCTGGCCGGGAGAGGCAAGACGACACCACCCTGCGGGGGCACTGGAAGCGCTGCCGGATGCAGGCGCTGCTCTCACCGGCTCAGCAAGAGGGAGGTGGCTGGTGCTGCTTCTGGGGCTCCAGAGAGGGGCACTGAGGGGCGCTCTGCACGTGGCTGGCCTTCAGTGCCCTTTGACTAACCCGCGTGCCTTCTTCCTCCCCCCCAAGTGGTCCTGATTGGAGAGTCCGGGGTGGGGAAGACCAACCTGCTCTCCCGCTTCACCCGCAACGAGTTCAGCCACGACAGCCGCACCACAATCGGGGTGGAGTTCTCCACCCGCACCATCCTGGTGGGAGACGCCCTGGTGAAGGCCCAGATCTGGGACACGGCGGGGCTGGAGCGCTACCGTGCCATCACGTCCGCGTAAGTGCCAGCCGTCCACAAGCAAGGTGCGCAGCTCACTTCGGCCAAGCCTCTCCCTGAGCGCCGTCCGTGGCGGTGCCCTGAGCAAAAGTATGGGAAGCGCACCAGTCCTTCACGCCACCCGGTCCTGGGCATGTTTGCTCTGAGGCCATGCCTGCTGAGCATGGCGCAGATGCTCAAGCCACAGAACGAGGCGCACTCAATGCCAGCAAGTGCACGACAGAGAGAGCTCCTGCAGACTGGAGGCCACCTCAGCAGGTGCAAACCGGCAGGGATAAAAGGACGGTCAGGTACCGAGCACTTGTGCAGGGTCAGGAGAGGAGCACAGCTGTTCCCCTGACAGCTCTCACAGCGTTCATGCAGCTTTCCACTCTTTTGCCCACAGGCAGTTTGCGCAGCACAGCGGCACGGCTGCTTTGTCCCAGGGCAGAGCAGGCCCCACGTGCCCCACTGCCCCAGCAGGACCCCCCGGGGGCACGCTGGCAGAGCCGTGCTTTCCCGCCCTCCCCACTGCTGCTTGACACTGATGCTGGGGTGGGGGTGGGGGTGGGGGGAACAAGGCGGCCCCAGCCGGGGTGGGAGACGCACTCTGCTCAGCCTCCTCCAGGATGTGTCCCATGGCGCTGCCCGCTGCTGTGGCTGTGCGGCAGCCACGGTGGGGGCCGGGGGAGCGCGCTCTGGCCAGCTTTCGCAAGGGGAGGCCAGGCGGTCCAGGGACCCCCGCCACCCCCAGCAGCCACCGCGGCAGAGTGAGGGCGAGGGCCGCCTCCGGCTCAGCTTTCTGCCCTGCACTGCAGCAGCCCCAGGGGTGCACAGAGCCCCAGCCGCCGTGGGGGCGGGCAGTGTGGCTGCCCCGGAAGGCGGCCCCTGTGCCCACATACTTGGTCAGAGCGGCAGGCGCCTCCCATGGTGTGGCCGCCCGGGGCTGCCGTGCCGCAGTGCTGCGCAAACTGCCTGTGGGCAAAAGACTGGGAAGCTGAAGAAACGGTCGCCAGCGTGCCACACCTGTAGGAAATGCTCATTCCCCCACCCCGAGAGGATCAGCCCAGCCAGTGTGGGGAGCTGGGACTGGGGGCGCTGAAGCCCCTTCTCCGGGAAAGCCTGCAACAGGGACCCTACACGAGGTGGAGGAGAACCAAGGGAACCCGGCAGCAACGGGGGGGGGGGTTGGAGGGAGGGGCCGACGGAGGGAAAGGCCGCCTCGAGGGATGACGGAGCGAGTGCCCAGGGAAGGCGGCGGCTGGCGGGCGAGCGCCTGGGGAGGGGCCCTGCTCTGCGCCCCGCCTGCTGCACCTCCCGGCTCTCTGCATTCTTGTTCTGATCTCTCGTTCTCCATCGCCCCAGTTATTACAGGGGAGCCGTGGGCGCCCTCTTGGTTTTCGATATCACCAAGCACCAGACGTACGACGTGGTGGAGCGCTGGCTGAAGGAGCTGTACGACCATGCCGAGGCCACCATCGTTGTCATGCTGGTGGGCAACAAGACGGACCTGGCCCAGGCCCGGGAGGTCCCGGCAGAGGAGGCAAAGATGTACGCAGGTGAGAGCGGCTTGCGGCCCCGCCTCGGCACCGGCCGTGCTCCGCTAGGACCTCAGGGAGTGTGCGGTGCCGGGGAAGGATCGGTGCTCCTGCTTCTCAGCAGCTGCACGAAACGCTGGGCCTGTTACTTGGCCAAGGAGGACGGACGGCAATTGGTCCACTTACCACACTGGTGCCGGTGGCAGAGAGAACGGTTCCAAGAGCGACGTCTCAGCACTTTCTGTCAGATGTCGTGCTCTCAGGGGGAGGCAGGCTCTCCTCGGCAGCAGCACCTCCTGCTCTTGCCCACGGCAGAGGAATCACCCCTTCCGATGTGGTTCTTGCCACCTGCAGGCCTGGTAAGGGCTGGCCAGCATTTCACGGTGTTCTAGCAGCAGCCGCCTCCTGCCTGGCCAGCCCTGGGCGCTTTTAACCCTGCTTATGCCAGGGGGCTGACCAGCCGAGCCCTGCAGCCCTCGCCGCCTTGGCTGCTTTCAGGGGACGGGCTGGTTGGCAGCCTCTGTTCTGCCTCCTCTGGAAGATCTTTCCCAGACTGAGGCTTCATCTGTGAGCAAGGGGGGCACGTGCGTTTATATCCACTGGGTGTTTGCTGGCTGGAGGGACACGTGGGGTGAAACAAGCGTGTCCGCGTTTCCCTCTCTCAGTAGACGGGGGGGGGCATGGGAGCAGGTGTTGGGAGGCTCACCTCTGTCTCTTCCCCAGATGTGCACACTTCCTCTTTTGGCGGCATGTGCAGAGGAAAATCTGAACTTCAGTTTTCCTGCGTTTCCACGCTTGCGTCACCATCTGGCCCCTTCAGGCTGTGTGTGCCCCTTTTGCATGTTTTTCCCAAGCAGCTTTGCGTGCATAACTTCTGCTTCTTCCAAGCATCCTCAAAAGATGTGGGGAAGGCCTGAGAGGGTCTGCCTGTGGCTCTCTTCACAGAAAACAATGGGTTGCTCTTCGTGGAAACGTCTGCACTGGATTCCACCAACGTAGAGCTGGCCTTCGAGACTGTCCTGAGAGGTGCGTGGAGGGACCGGGGGCTGCACCAAGCCTCGGGTGGGGGGCGAGAGCGACCGTGTTCAGTGCCCTGTGGCTAAGGCCCCAGTGGGCGCCTGTCCCTCTTTGCCCCCCACGCCGGCTGCCCCTGCACTACGGCATTGCTGGCCAGAGGCTTGCGTGGAAGAGATGCACGAGGCCGGGCGGAGGCCCAGGTCCCCCCGAGAGAGCTGGGGAGGCCTGAGGCAGCCCTGCTGGCCAGCCGTTGTGGCCCGTGCTGGCGGGCAGCAGCTCACCGTCTTCTCTGGCCCCTGCTGGGGTGGGCAGGGAGGTGGGACGGAATGCAGCCTTCCCTGGGATGAAGGGGGGCCAGCGGCAGCTCCTGATCCATCCGGGGTCACACCCTTGCTCCCAGGGCCAGGCTGCCCGTGTTCACGCCATGAAGGCTTCTTCAAGAGCGGTGATGGCCGCTCCCCTGAAGTGCCTCGCTTCCGGAGCCACTGCCAAAGCAGCTTTTTCCCACCCGCAAACCCAGCAGAACCAGAGCAGGGTCGGCGGGGCGGGGCCAAGCACGAGGGCCCGGTGGGGCTGGAGCCGGGCCGGTCACCCCGCGGCTGCGGAATCACGGCCCCTCTTTCTTTTCCCATCTCATAGGTATCTTCAACAAGGTGCAAAAACAGAAGCAAAAGAGCCCCCTGGACAGCACGGTTTCCCTCTCTGCCGAGAACGCCCCCGCGGGGTCCCCCTCGCGACCCGAGGGGGAAAAGCGGGCGTGCTGCCTGGCCCTCTGAGGCGGCTGGGGACATGGCAGGCACGCTCCCCAGTCGCAGGCGGGGAAGCAGCCTGCGTGTGCTGCCGCCGTGCCGTGCCGTGCCGTGCCGTGCCGTGCCGTGCCGTGCCGTGCCGTGGGGACAGCTGCCGGGGCTGGTGGCACTGGCTGTCCCGCCTGCATCAGGGCAGGGCAGGGCAGGGCAGGGCAGGGCAGGCCACCGGCTTGCGGGGCTCCTCTGCTTTTCATTGGAACCTTGGGCCACGTGCGGAAGGCCTGCATGAGGCACGAGAGGAATTCTGGCCAGGAACTTGCCCTGAGTACCAGGACGAGATGGAGTGGAACTGGCCCCCTGCCCCACCCTGGGCGCTCCAGCTCTGCTCTCCAGCAGGCTTTCTTAATTTAGCAGCACTCCAGGTGTGTGTGTGTGAGAGAGAGTAAATTTGTTACCACTGCTGAATAACTGGGATTTGGACATCTTTGCAGGCCTCCTGCTGGCCACCCAAAGATCCACTCGGAGCCTGCACCCCCTCCATGCGGCATCCCTGGCCCCAGCTGGGCATGTCTGAATTCTGGGCTGCAGCACAAGTCGGAGGCACCTTGAGTTGACGCGCTGATCCCAGTGGCACGCTGATCCCTTGCCAGGATCCAGCCCATCCCTTTCTGGCTGCAGAACTATCCAAAGTGCTAAATTTAACCGTGGCTGCAATCCAGAAGCAGGCACTGCAGCACAGAACCTTCGCCCCACTTCCCTGGGCGCTCCTGGAGCGCCCGGAGGCTTAAAGGCCCCGGTGTGAGGCCCCCGGGACTGGAATGGGCTGCGGCTGACTTGACTGCCACTGATTTGAACCAGACAAGCGGGAGAAGAGCCCTGCTGGATTGGGCCAGGGACACTCAAGCCCAGCATCCTGCTCACACAGCAGCCTGCAGAAGAGCCACAAGCAGGACCTGGGTGCAGTTGCACTCTCCGGCCCATCTCCCTAGAAACTGGTGGAGGCAGGCATGCCTCCTCTGCGGCTGGAGGGAACGCATGACTCCAGTGGCCCCGGCGGCCTTCCCCTCTCAGGCCCTCCGGCTGGCTGGTCGCTGCCACTTCTTGGGGCGCTGAACTCCCCAGTGCAACCGTGTGCTGTGTGAGGAAGTGGCCTTCACCCGCCGTGCCCAGAAGTACGTCCCTCTGGCTCAGCCGCGTGGCAACTCTGCCAGCCACGAGTGAAATGCTTGAAAGTCACCCTTCGCTGCGGCTTGAAGGCAAAACACGGTTCTTCCCTTCCGTCCTCTGAACAGCCCTGTGAAGGGGGCTTGGTTGAAAGGGGAGCCGTCTGGCCTCAAGCCAGTCTATTTTTGCATCTGGCTGGGGATTTGAACCAGGGCCCCGTGGAATTCTGGCGCTTGCAGGGCCTTTGGGATTGCCTAGTCCAGTCCATCCACCTGCTCCAGGCAAACTTCCCTGCTTCCAGCCCAGCCTGGTGCTCTCACCACTAGGAACACTGCCTTTCCAGGCAGGGTGCATTGAGTTGGGTCGTTGACTGAGATGCCAGTTGGGCCAGCCACAGGCGTCTCCACGAGGGAGCTGGGAATGGCGCCGCTGCAGCTGGTTGCGAGGGGGGGGGCTGCGACTGCGGCCGCTTCCAAGAGCCCTCTTGAAGTGGGGGGCAAAGTGCCCAGAGACCAGCAGCACCCCCCACCTGCAGAACTGGCGCCCCGCGACACCCGTGCGTGCGCGCCCATTCCTCGCGCAGCAGGGCGATGCGCTAGCAGGACTGGCGGGGGGGGGCAGTGTCCGCGCGGCAGGCAGGCAGCCTGGGTGGAGCCCCGCAGGAGCGGCCTCTCCTCCGGGGTGGTGGACGCCGCTGGGTCCGTGCCGGCTCCTGGAAGAGAGGTTGTCTACATTTCTATAACTATAGAAGTATATATTTATATATTCATATGTTCTCTCTCTCTCTCTCTCTCTCACACACACACACACAATATATGTTGTAAATAAATTTCTCTGAATTGTGTTTGTTTATGGCTCTTTTTGAAACAAGAAGGCTATTGCAAAACTTTCCATAAAGAAAAGGGAGACTCCCTTTTGAGACTCGCAAAAGATTAAGCAAATATTATGTATTTTAACACTTAAAACCACTTTACGGGGTTAATTTTGGCAAATTAAGTTATATGAAAGGCACCTGCATGGTGAGTTGGTGTGTTACCTCCACAGTGCAGCAGAGTGCGAGTTGGAATGAAGGGAGAGCGGATGGGGAAGGCCTGGCAGGCCCTCATCCCTCACAGTTCTAGTTTTTAAGCTGGACAGTCTGTTGAGATGCAGAGCCAGAGAAAGTGCATCAGCCCTTTTCGAGATCTCGAACCAGGCCCAGCGGCAAACAGATTTCCATGGAGTGACAGGGAAGTAGGGGGAACAGTGAGCGGCACAGGCCAGGACAACACCAGCTGCCACGTGGCCTTTTGCGGGGCACCGGAGTCCATTAAAGCTGGAACGTGGGCGAGCCCTTGCCCGCGAGGTGCTTGCTGCGGGGGAGAACATGGGGCAAGCAGGATGCCGGGGGAGAGGATGGAGGTGCACGCAGTTCATGGCACACCTTTCAAAGCTTGGCTGCCTTGGCAAAAAGCTGCTGGAGAAGGGAGATCTGGCTACGCTCGTTCGTGTGCAAAATGCTTGCTTTCTGGCTGCGTCGTGGCCAGGCTGGAAGGCGTGCACTGAGCACACTCCCGGGCCAAGCAGGCCTGGGGCTCAGCACGTGAAAAGGGCAGCGTACAAATGAAACGTGTGGCAGGTGCTTTTCTGCACTGTGGGTGTCTCCGTGAGCTGGTGCATTGCAATGGGTTCCACTCGGGTCTCGATGGAAGAGCCCCTCCAGGGCCGGACAGCCACCTGAGGATGCAAAGGCGGCAAGAAAGGAGGCCACTTTGCCACGGTGGACCCGATCAGGTGTCCTTTCCTGTGTGTGCAGCCTCTGCAACAACCAGCCCCCCGCCCCCTCACGTTCTGGTTGGTCCTGGCCCTGTTCGACTGCCCGGGCCAGCTCCCTGGCAGAGAGGGCCTTGGAGGGCTCGGCCATGCGGGGCGTGAGCAGTCGTGCTTGTCGCGCAGCCTTCATTCTGAGCTGAGAAAGAAGGTTCCCATTCGTCTGGGATAGATTCTGGCATCGGTACAAGCACTGGCAGTCCTCGCAAGACAAAACGAGTGATCGCAGTTCCCCAGCTGGAAAACTTTTGCAAGAATTAGGTGGACTCATGGAGGTTTGGTCGGTCAAAGCCAATCACTGTCAAATGTGGAGCCTCCATGGTCAGGGGCTGCTTACTTCCAATTACCAGATTTGGGGGGGGGGGGGGACAAAAACTAGGGCATGCCTCCATTTGGGGGCTGCCACGTGCGGGACTCTCACTACTAACACCCAGCAGGCCGAGTGCAACGGCTTCATCTTCCCCTCCCTAACGGACTTCCTGTGGTAAGAAAAGAGAGAGATGGGGAAGTGGTGGGAGAGCACAGGAGGGGAGGACTGGAAGGAGCTGCTATCCTATCCTGTGGATGGGGGGGGCACAGGATGAGAGCCCCCGCCTGCAGGCCCCACGCAGGACCGGCTGCTCTGCAGGGGAGAGCACTGTCAGAAGGGTGCTTCATCTGGGCCGCCGAGGCCGGCTTTGGAATTCCTCGGAGCAGCGGCATCTGCGGCCCTAAGCCAAACTCTGCCATTCACGCCAGTGTAACACCAACCAAAAGCTCACCAGAAGCGTGCAGGCTTTTGAGCTCTCCAACTCTCTTTACCAAGCCAAGTCTTGCCTTATGAAGACACCCCGAAAGTTTGTGCGTTTGTGGAGTCTCTGCTGCCCTTGCAGCTGCAAAAATCACCATGACGATGTGCGGGTGGGTCGCCCGAAAGCGGTGGCATCTCCCGAGGGCAGCAGAGGAAGAGTGCTGGGGGCCAGGCTCTGCAGGCCAGGCTGGTGGCTGCCTTGTGCCTTGCTCCGAACATGGCCGTGCCCCACCACTCCCAGCCGACCAGAGCACGCATGCAATGCAAAACAGGCCCGTGTTGAGTTTGCATGATTCACCCGGGTGACAGAACTGGCTTTTACGGCTGTCTAACTTGGGTGTTAAGAGCATCTCGTGCCCCTTTGTAGCCCTTCGAGTGGGGGTGGTTTATCTTGCGCGCCAAGGATGGGCGCCTGCTGCGCCTTCTTGCGTGGCGGCCTCGGTCAGGAGGCGGGCAGGCAACAAATGGGCCAGAGGAGCAGTTTCCACTCTGCCCTTCTTGTGCGTCTGTTTTGATGGAATGAAGCTCTGGCCCTTTAAAGGAAAGATACCTGCCCCACCTGCCTACCTGAGCCAGGTAAGCTCCTTGACAGCCAGTGTGCAGTCAGTAAAATTCCAGACTCGGGAATGGGCCAATGCGAGCAAAGGAGGAGGGCAGCGAGGCAACCAATGGTGCGGGGAGAGCGGCTGCTGCAGGCCTCCTCTGGGCGCTTCTGCCTGAAGCGGCTGAACCCAGGAAATCGCGGCGCAGTGAGGTCATCTCCCGTCCTCCATCTCCAGAAGAAAGGTGCAGGTGTGTTCAGACCTGCTTTCCTGGGTGGGGGTGCTGTAGGGAAGTTCAAGGCACGATGCGGGGCAAGGACGACGAATACGATTACCTGTTCAAAAGTAAGTTTGGCCCTCTCTCTTCCCTTTTCCAAATTCCCGTCCTTTCTGAAACTGGTGAACTTTCACCCTTTTCTGCTTTCTTGGGGTCTTAAAAAACAGTCGCTTCCTCCTTTCTGTGGCCACTTTTTAGAAACTCAGTGCATGTGGTCCTAGTTTTTATTTACTAGCAATTACTTACGGGGTAAAGAATGACACTCGGCAAGAAGTGCCCCATAGAGCCCATACCTGGGCAAGGGTTGGAGAGTGGCTGCCCCCACCCCAATCCAGCAGGAAGGCCCAAACGGCCTGCTTCCTCTTGTTAGAGCCGAGGCCAGGCCTGCTGCCCTCCTGCCCACCGTCACTCCGTTTCCCAGGGACTTCCTCCCACCACTGCCGCTTCGCCTGTCTTCCTCGCCCCACAAGAATTCACTCCTCGCCCCAGTCCCCCTCCGTCCCCGTCCCCCGTGGCTCCCTGTCCCAAGCCAGCCAGCCGCCCAAGCAGGGCTGACCCTCCGTTTCAGCCAAGCACTCCCAAGTCTGCTGCTGCTGCTGCTCATCCCCACAGAAAAGGAGAGGGGCAGGGGCGGGGTGGGGCGCGGGGCTCGGCCCTGCTCCTCCTTTTTGGAGAAATGCCGCATAAAACCGGGCAGGGGCCGATCCCTCCGTCTTCCGCCACATCTTGCCACCCTGAAACGGAAGCGTGGGGTTCTGGCTTTTTGGAAAGGCGCAGGAGGGCGTGGAAGCAACTACGCCCCCAGGGAAATTGCCGGATGTGGTGAAGTTCGTGTTGTGCAGTTGTGCAAGGAAATCGTGGCAGACGCGTGCAATTCAGACACTGAGATGCTTCTTTTCTAGTTTTAAGTGCAGAACTTAGGGTGGGAGAGGAGTCTAGCTTGGAAACATGAAAGACCCCTTGTGCCCAGATTTGGGCTGATGCATTTACGTAGTTTTAAACTTTTCAAAACCAATTCAAAGCCAAGCTCGGAGCCTTGTGCTGCCCACAGCAGTTTTGCAGCTCACACCTCCAAAAGCAGGTGCCCCCCCCCAAAGGTGCCCTCCCCCTCTGTCGCAGAGGAGGTGCCGCAGCAGCAGCGTACCGCAAAGGGCCAGAGCGTGAAGCATGGGGGCTGCCTGAGCTGAGGAGGGAGATGTAAAGCACACTGAAACAGGGCACATGGAACGCTTTGCTCTGGCCAGGAGCAGGTGTGCCTCCTTCCAGTGCTAGAATGCAGTGCACTGCAGAGCCAAGTGTTAGCAATGTGACTGTCCCAGAGAGGCTGGGGGGCGGGGGAATCCAGACACGCCTCCCCACCTGCCCCAGAGGCACTTCTGCAGCCCCTGCCTCCTCTCCTCCTTGGCACTGCACAGTTGCAAGCAGAGACTGGGAGGACCTTGCTGGGAAAACGTTTCTGTAACTTCTGCCTTCAGGAAAAGGGCGGGAGAGGAGTGGGAGGCGGCCTGAGGATCGCCTGGCGCCGTGTGGGCCACCTCCGTCGAGCACTGGGTTCCCGGGTGCCCTCAGGCACCTTTGGGGTGCCCGCCAGCTTCCCCTGGCTTTTCGTGGGTTTGAGAGCTTCCCTGGGAGGCTGCTGAGAGGCACGCTGCCCTCCGTCCCCGCCAAGGGTGGCATCATATTTTGCGGGGCAGTCTGTACGTGGGCTCTCAGACACACCACTCGTCTTCCGGGAAGCGAATGCTTTGTGGCTGGCTGTGCCTGCCAAGCTGTGCCTCCGTGGCAAAAACGGGCCAGGTGCCCGGCAGCCGTTTTGCGAGGGCCCCACAGCCCTCCTGAAATTCCGGATGGGCCTCAAAGCGGGTGTGACGGTATGGAAATGTTGCTTTACTGTTGCTCATCGTAGGTCAAGCACCCGGAGGTGGGGCAGTTCTCCTGCAGGTCTTGAGCCACCTCAGGCAAAAAGCCCTTTGGTGCCACCCATCAAGACTTGCTTATCCCCAGATACTTGGAGTGAACCGGGGTGCCAAAAGACCGAAGATCATTAGCAGGACCTATAGCTGAGCCGCCCGGCTGCGCGTAGCCTCACCGTAACGTGAAACCGCAAAGGAATGAGTGAACATGGCACTCGCTTCTTTGTGTCCCACACCCTGATCTGAGCCCGTCTCTGCTATGAGGGGCAGAGGGCAGCCATGGCGGAAGGGAGTCTGAGCCACCCCCCGCGAGGAGGCTCTGCGGGCCCGCCGCCTCGTCGCATCTGTGTGCTCACTGCGCAGGAGGGTCAGATCCTGCCGTTCCAGTTTAGGCGCGTTTAGTGGGATGGAACTGCGGGGCCCGGGGCCAGGAAGCACCCAGCTCGGGGCAGGAGTGGGCCTGCGCTTCCCTGCCAGGGCCTTCCTCGAGCCTCCCGCTCGTGCTGCAGTCCGGGCTGTGCGTGTGCATGCACGTGTGTGTGCACACGTGCACACGTAACCGGCCTGGGGCACCCCACGTCTGAGCTGCAGGAGGGCTCAGGCTCCATTTGCCTGGACCAGAGGGGGCAGGAGTCCAGCTTCGTATACTGCATTCCACCGATGTTTCAGCCTGCTTCCGTAACTAGGGCGCCCCTTCCCGCTGCGTTCGTTTATTTCTTTGCATCGTAAACTGCCCTGGGAACTTTATTAAAGGGTAGGGAGACCTCTGTACATCCTGCGACGGCTTCCCACTTCACTGCTCTGAAGGCCAAGAGCCCCATGTGTCCCTGAGGGTACAGACAGATGAGGCAAAGAGAGTTGCCCTACCACAGTGTCCTCAAATGTGCAGGGCCTCGGCAGGCGTGTCTGTGCATTGACATGGAAGTGTGCTAGAGATAAGAGCAATCTCTGCCTTTTCAGGAAGATGTAATTTCAAGATACCCCAGCTTCTGAAGAAGGGCAAAAATAACATCTCGTACTGAGCAGGGCACCCCATAAGAGCAAAATAAGGGCAGCCAGCTCACTTGCTTTGATTTGTTTGTAAGTCAGGGACAGGAAGTAAAGCATGGGGTAGCACAGACTGCTGGAGGCCCAGCCCTGCAGTGCCTCAGTCGGCAGCTCTGCCAGGGGAAAGGGGCTGCTCTGGGATTTATTCCCGGCAGAGACAGTTTCAGAAGTGAGGCATTTTGCATACCTTGGCTCACTCCTCAGTCCAAGGGAGAGTGCAGCCAAGCCAGCTGAAGGAGGCTGCAGTCTGGAAGGGCAGCAATGAAGGAACTCGGGAAGGTGCTCGGGTGCAAGGACATATCACTGGAGACCGAGGCCAAGATCATCCAACTGGACAGTAAAGAAAGCTGCCAAGAAGAAAATTGGTGCGTTTGAAACGTGGTGCTGGGCATCCATTTCCTACCCCAACGTAAGATTTTTAAGCGAAAGCCATTTGTGCCTTTGGCAGAGAAGCCGGCAACGCGGGCCCATCAGCACCGTGCCCAGCCGGTCCCCCCACAGCCGCTCAGCGGGGACCTGAAGTCTGGCCAGAATTCGCCTTCCCCTCTTGCATGCCTCAGGTTGGGCTCCCTTTTCCGTTGAGCACTCATCGTTGTGTGCTGAGATGGTGGGCATTCCGGCTCATCCCAGCCAGAAAAACCTCCAGACTGTGTCTTGGAGACAGCTCCCGGTGTGCTGATCTGGTGCGGAGGTGGCATTAGCCGTGATCTGCCTGATTTGGGTATCGTGACAGACGATGCTTTTCACTAAACCGGAAGGGGAGTCAGCAGGTTCAAGAGGAGGAGGAAGTGTTAAGGGTTTCGATCCTGTAAGGCGTGCTCTGTATCTGACAGCACCTTAGGTCAGCTAACGAAGGCTGGTTCACACATGCATGTATACTCGGAGTCTTGACATTTGGTGTGGTCTAATTCTATCGAAAAGTATTGCATGAAAGTTCCAAACCTGTATAGCTGGGTTCAGAACCCTTCTAGTGTTCCTTAGAGGCTACAGAGCATTAGAAGAGTGCAATCCAGCCACATTTGCCTGTTTTAATGCTTCATAGTGCCACAACAGGCATTTTTAAAAACATTGTTAAATGTTATCATAAGTACAGGCTAGGTAACAAGTGGCTGGAGAGCAGCGCTTGCGAAAGGGACCTCGGGGTGCTGGTTGACTGCAGGCTGAACATGAGTCAGCCGTGTGACGTGGTGGTCAAGAGGGTGAACGCCACCCTTGGTTGCATAGCCAGAAGTGTGGCTTCTGGATCGAGAGAGGTATCACTGCCCCTCTATGCGACTCTGGTGCGCTCGCAACTGGAGTATTGTGCTCAGTTCTGGGCCCCTCATTACAGAAAGGATATAGCCAGGTTGGAGTCAGTGCAGCATAGGGCCACTAGGTTGGTGGCCGGTTTGCCAGGGATGCCGTATGAGGCGAGACTGAGGGAACTGGGTCTCTTCAGCCTGGAGAAGAGGAGACTCAGAGGGGATATGTTGGCGACATACAGGTATGTGAGGGGGTGTCACATGGAGGTGGGGAGAGACCTGTTCTCCCCTGCAGAGGAAGGCAGGATGTGCTCCAATGGAGCAAAGCTCAGGGAGCCAAGGTTTCGTTTGGATGCCAGGAAGCACTTCCTGACAGTCAGGACCCCGAGGGTGTGGAATGGGCTTCCATGGGAGGTCGTTGAGGCCCCATCGGTGCGGGTGTTCAAGGATAGCCTGGACATGCACATGGTGGGCATGTCGTGAGTGGAGCTGACTAGAGCCGGGGGTCAGACTAGATGGCTTGGGAGGTCCCTTCTGACTCGCTCTGTTTCTATTATTTTGCTGCCACCCCAGTAGGAGCATTTCAGGTTATTTGATGGACAACTGTGTTCTAGATCACACTTGCAAAGCAGGAGGAAGGGGAGAAGCATAAAACAACAGCAGCAGCAACAACAATTTTCTCCCAGTAGCTGCACAACCAACCATACAGAAAAGGGAAGCTGAGGACTTTAGATCATGCGGGGAAAACCAGGAAAACCAAAAAAAGGGAGGGGGGGGGGGTCAGAATTAGCCCCAAGCTGCCACAAGCAGATTTTTTTAAAAGGATGAAGAAAAAAACACAGGTAGCCCACAAGCAGATTTTAAAATATAGCAACAAAAAGGGGAAGGGAAAACCCAGAAAGTAAATTAAAATGGGGCAGGGAAGGGGAGGGAAGGAGCCAACCTGCCTTTTAGGGTGGGCTGACCCGGTGAGCCCTGTGTGGGCACATGGAAACCAGGCTCGCTCTGTCGTGCTCCTGAAACAGCCAAGCTCCCCAGATTGGGCCTGTTGTCACAAAGAGCTCTGTGCTTCGTAGTAATCATGCTCATCCTCTGAGTTTGCCCACGGAGTTGCTGGTCTGCTGCTGCGCCCCGCAAGCGGCCTCTCACAGATATTAGTGCAGCGCCTGGCTGGGTGGCCACCTCGTGGCCCGTGCCCAGTCCCTGCCTCAGCCAACGCCAATGGGGCTGGCCAGCAGCCACACACGGAAGCCACCGGAGCCGCCACAACCCGGAGTCGCGGGGAGTGAGCAAAGCGTGTCTCCACGGCTGGATTGCCTCATGCCCTGGCCAGGCTGCTGAGCAGGTCTGGTGCAAGGACTGAGCAACTTCCCGGTGGCACAGCCCGGGCAGGACCTCTGACGCCCCAGGCAGGCTGAGACCAGGTTACCTGAGGGGCTCCTTCTCCCAGGTCAGGGGATCTTCAGGGAAGCCCTTCCCCCAGTCCTGCTGCGGTCGCTTGGTGGGGACCAAAGAGGGTCTTCTTGGAGGGGATTGTGAAGCTCCCGTTGGTCGTTTTGCCAGCGGGCAAAAGTGGCTTCAGGGGTTTGCCCAGATGTCTTGTGTTTGCTGCTTCGCTTTCCACTGTGGGTGCTGGGTTTTTTTCTTATTATTATTGTAAGTTTTTGTAGTTAAGTTTAGATGGTGTCACGTTTGCCAGTATTTTCGTATTTTGTTAGCTGGCTTGAGTGCTGCTGTTAGTGGCAAGAAGGCTTTAACTCGCTCAGGGCCTGTCCAGACAGAAAAGTCCCAGCAAGCAGCAGCCAGCCAGACTTGGGCAGGTCTGCCAGAAGGCTTGGCCAGCAGCTCCTCTCTGCCAGGCTGATTTTGAATGGGAGGAGGGGGAGGGTTTGGTGTAGGACCAGCCAAGGCCGTGAGCTGAAGCAGCACAGTCCAGGAAGCGCTCTACCATTCTCCAAACTGAAATGCTAGGTGTTGTCTCTTTAGTTACCAGGCCTTTCGTTAACCCAAGGAACTGGGCCTGAGCCTTTGGCCTGGCCGGCCAGCACTGCCGTCCTTGCTCCCTGCCCCCTCACCGTCCCGAGGCCCCTTGCCCTCTTCGCATTACTGATTTCTCGCTCCTGGGCAGTTGTCCTCATCGGAGACTCCGGCGTTGGGAAGAGTAACCTTCTTTCTCGCTTCACCCGGAACGAATTCAACTTGGAGAGCAAAAGCACCATCGGGGTGGAATTCGCCACCCGTAGCATCCAGGTGGACAGCAAGACAGTGAAGGCCCAGATCTGGGACACGGCCGGGCAGGAGCGCTACCGAGCCATCACGTCTGCGTGAGTGCTTCCACACCCCGGGTGTTGCCCTGGCGCGCCGTGGGGGGTGGGGGGAGGCTGTTGACTCCCCCTGCTCCCCCTGCCCCAGCGCCTCCAGTTTGGTCGGGGAACCAGCCCGAGGTTGCAGGGCTTCCTTGTGCGGCGGGGCTGCCGAGCCCTCTGAGGCTGCGGGCGGGAGGCTTGTGGGGGGTGGAGCTGAAGGCCCCTCGTGGAGGAGGCTCGCCGGGCTGCGTGCGACTAGCCCGGATCACACGGGCCCTTGTTGGGCCCCTGAGGCCAGTGTGGGCCCCCGGGCAGCTTTCTTGCACGCAGTTAGACCCTTGGGCCGGTCTCCTGGTGGAGGTGGCCGGGGGATAGTGCCAAGCCAGGCGGAGGGGGGCTGCACGGCACACACGACACGCACTGGGATCCACCCTCGGGGCCCAGCCCCTTCGCTTTTCCTGCAGAGCCCCCGAGGCATCTTGGCTCGGAGCGAGGTTGGAAATGCTTCCCTTTTTCCTGCTGAAAGGGCGTTGTGATCGCGGAAGGGCAGCCGTGCCGATCCTGGGCACACAGCGGCACGCGGGCTGGGGGCCTCCTGCTGGTGGGCGGCAAGCCAGGCAGCTCTCTTCCCTCTGTCCCACTCCCCTCCGCAGGCAGCACTGCAGAGCTGGCGACCCGGCCCCCTCCCACTCCTGCCCGGCCAAGGCACACACGGAAAGGAGGCGCGCGCTGGCTGGGCCAGGAGGCCTGCTTCGGGGGGGAGCGCCACTTGCCCCGGCACTACTGCTTGCCGGCCAGGTGGCCCCTTGCAGGCACCGCGGCCCCGGGTACAGGAGCCCCGGCCTGGGAGGGAGACCAGCTGGCGAGGCCACCGGCCCCGGGGCAGCGCTCGCAGGAGGCCGTGCCGATGCTTTGGGCTGCAGACTCGGCTGTGACGTCATCGCGTGGACGAGAGTGGAGTCGTGTCCCCGAGCCTGCCTCCTCCTCCTGCAGGTACTACCGGGGAGCAGTTGGGGCCCTTCTGGTGTACGACATCGCCAAGTACCTCACCTATGAGAACGCGGAGCGCTGGCTCAAGGAGCTGCAGGACCACGCGGACACCAGCATCGTCATCATGCTGGTGGGCAACAAGAGCGACCTCCGGCACCTGCGGGCCGTGCCCACCGACGAGGCCAAGAGCTTCGCAGGTACTGCTGCCCATGCCTCCCCCTTCCCTCCGGTGCGGGGGCTGCAGGCTCCCCAGGCCCGTGGGGGGCTGGGGGCGTATTCCTCCTGCACCCCACGTGTGCTTCCCAGCCGGGCAGCTGCCAAGGCCCGCGGTTTGCCCGGGCTGCCCTCCCCACCTCTCCGCACCGCGAGAAGCCGCAGTGTGAGGCCCGTGGGCGGCCCTGCCCGCGGAGGGACGTGCCTGCCAGCCACGCCTGTGCTGGCTCCAGGGGACCGGGGGCGAGGCGCTCTCTGTGGGCCCCTCCCTCCGTGGGTCGCCCCCTGGCTCCCACTCCTCGTCCTCCCTGTGGCTCCCACACACAGGCAGAGGGCCGGGGGCTCGGAGCAATGCTGCCGCCCGGGCCAGGCGCTGCCAGCAGGGGGCAGGGCGGCTCCTGGGGCTTTCTCAGTGCTCCTGCTCCGGGAGTGTCCCTGGCAGGTGCGTGACCGGGCCTGCCCTCGCTGCCCCCCTGGGGAGCTCTCCAGGTGCTGAAGCCAGGCCCCTGGGCCCCGCTGCCACGTGCCTGCAGTCCCACAGACATATGGGTCGTGCGTGCACACCTGTCGTGCCCGGCGTGGGCCCCGGGGCCCGCACCCAGAGGCTGTGGGGCATCACCGGGCACTCCGGGCACACTGCCTGGGCCACATGCGGCACGGCCACTCCCAGGGTCTGCTCTGTCGCTGCTGCTTCAGCATCTAGAAAGCCCAGGCGCTTGCTCTCAGTGCGGACGGACGTTGCACAGGAGCAAAACGGATTGCTTGGTGTGCCCCGTCGCCACTGCGCATGTGGGCCAGTGAGCGATTTTGGACAGGCCTGTGGGGAGAGAGAAGAGGGGAGTTTGGCGTTTGCTAAAGGAGGACAGAAAGGTGGAATTGGGAGGCGTGAATGCCGGTGGTGACAGCCATGGGGGCAGAGGTGTGGCGCTTCAGGGGAAAACAGAACGGAGCTGGAGAGTCCTTCAGAGGAAGGGCTCTCCAAAGGACTTTGCTTCCCGGCTGGTCGCCAAGAGTCAGGAAAGTGCTGTGGCACAGCCCATGCTCAGGTTTCTGAGTGTTGGTTCCAAATTCACAAATAGGCCGCAAGCCTCAAGCTGCTTGAATGCCCCAAATGACTGAATCATCCAGCCCCCTCCGAAGGGAAGGCATGAGCCTGATCCTTATCGCATGGGGTGAGGAAACGGATGCTTGGCTGTACCAGGGACCCTGCAGCCCCCATGACTGGGTGAAAAATGGATGCCAGCAGCCTCATGCAGGGGACTTCTCCTTGAGCTCTCCCAGGAGTTGCAGACACTGTGGGCTCGGCATGTGCTGTGAGCCGCCCCGAGGCTTCGGCGAATGGGGCGGCATAGCAGCTTTCTAAATAAATAAATAAATAAAGTGCCCGTTAGCCCATAGCCAGTGGCTCTTTCCCACAGCTTGTTGCCCTCCTACTTACTGCCATAGGAGCCAGAAATTTGCCACCTTCGATTTCGATTTATATCCTGCCTTTTTCCTACAAAGGGCTCAAGGCAGCTTACATCATTCTCTTCCTCCATCTTATCCCCACAACAACAACCCTGTGAGGTAGGTTGGGCTGAGAGTCTGTGACTGGCCCAAAGTCACCCAGTTGGCTCCATGGCTGAGTGGGGACTAGAACCCAGGTCACCTGAGTCCCAGTCCCATGCTCTTAACCACGACACCACACTGGC